CCCATTTAACACGCTGCCTCCTCCTCTCCTAGGATCCTACAGCACACCCAGCCTCTCAGCCCTGCCCAGCCCTGTTGTGACCTCAGGAGGGAACGTGACCCTCCAGTGTGGCTCAGGGCAGGGATTTGACAGGTTCATTCTGACTAAGGAAGGAGATCACAGGCTCTCCTGGACCCAGGACTCCCAGCCACAGAGCAGGGGGCAGTCCGAGGCCCTGTTCCCTGTGGGCCCCGTGACCTCCATTCACAGGTGGACGTTCAGATGCTATGGCTGCTACAGGAACATCCCTCAGGTGTGGTCACTCCCCAGTGATGCCCTGGAGCTCCTGGTCCCAGGTGAGTCCCATTATTGTCCCATCCATGGATTGAGGCACCAGCCAGGTTATTGGGGTCTTTTTTGTGAGGGGAGCCCCAGGCGAGAAGGTGGGGTGTGGGAAAACAGGGGCTCCTGGGCCAGAGACACGGAGAGAGACAGTGAGACCTGGGAGCCAGCCCAGGAAAAGGGGTTTATGGGAGGAGAAGCCCCTGTAATTCATGCCTGGTCTCCCCAGGTGAGTCTGGGAAGCCCTCGCTCCTGACCCAGCAGGGCCCCATCGTGGATTATGAACAGAGCCTGGCCCTCCAGTGTCGCTCTGATGTCAGCTATGAGAGATTCGCTCTGTCCAAGGAGGGGGGACGGGACCTTCCCCAGAGCCTTGTCCTGCAGCCCCAGGCTGGGCTCTCTCAGGCCCACTTTCTCCTGGACACTGTGACACGGGGGCACGGGGGCCGGTACAGATGCTACGGTGGATACACCCTCTCCTCTGAGTGGTCGGCCCCCAGTGACCCCCTTGGTGGCAGGCTGAGTGGTCGGCCCCCAGTGACCCCCTGGACATCCTGGTGGCAGGTGAGGAGCCAGTGGGTTCAGTCAGGGAACCAGATCTGCACAGGCCCTGCTGGGCGTCTCAGGTGGTGAGACCAGAATGACAGTGCAGGCCCCAGGGAGGGAGAGAGACAGAGAGAGGCAGGGGGTGGGAGGGGAGATGGGGAGACTCAGAGAAACAGAGACAGAGAGGAGGGTCCTCAGAGAGAGAGGCCTGGTGCCTCTCAGGTCAGAACAAGCTGGGCAGGCAGCCCTCACCCTCCACCCTCCCTCTCTCTAGGATGGCTGTATGACAGACCCTCCCTCTCGGTGCAGCCAGGCCCCAGGGTGGCCTCAGGAGAGAACGTGACCCTGCTGTGTCAGTCACGGAGCCCGAGGGACACTTTCCATCTGTCCAAGGAGGGGGCAGCGGATCCCCCCCTGCATCTGAGATCAGAGCACCGAGCTCAGCAGTTCCAGGCAGAGTTCTCCATGAGTCCTGTGACCCCAGCCCACGGGGGCACCTATAGGTGCTACAGCTCAAACAGCTCCTCCCCCTTCCTGCTGTCACTCCCCAGTGAGCCCCTGGAGCTCCTGGTCTCAGGTGAGGGGCCCCTGACCCTGTCTGCCAGCTATCAGCTCAGGTCCCTTCCCCAGAGGAATTATGGTCTGAAAGGGAGTGAGGGGCTCTAGGGATGGTCATCCAGCGGAGATCTTTTTTTTTTTAAATATATATTTTATTGATTTCTTACAGAGAGGACGGGAGAGGGATGGAGAGATAGAAACATCAATGAGAGAGAAACATCGATCAGCTGCCTCCTGCACACCCCCTACTGGGGATATGCCCGCAACCAAGGTACATGCCCTTGACCGGAATCGAACCTGGGACCCTTCAGTCTGCAGGCCGACGCTCTATCCACTGAGCCAAACCGGCGAGGGTGCCCAGAGGGGATCTGACCCTCAGACACCCCTGTCCCCTCTCCACCCCTCCCCCTCACCTGGTCCAGAAGGTGCCAGGTGGGCAGTGAGAGGGACTTAGTGAGGGCTCTGTGAGGGGGACTCCAGACTCTCACCTTCTTCCTGTCCTTCCCAGGACCACTGGGACCCAGCCCCTCCTCCCACGTGGTCCCCTTTGCTCAGAGGGAGACAGCACCCCTGGGCAGTTCTGAGTCTCTGAGGACCTAATGCCCCCCCAGACACCTAAGGGCAGGCTGTGTCCTAAGGCTGCGAGGAGTTGGGGACAGATTTCAGGGAACCACAGGCCCCAGGGCTCTGAGGATCGGGCTCCCCCACCCACAGAGTCGGGCTCACGGAGGGGAAGTGGGGTATCTGTGGGAGGTGGTGGGTGCCTCCATGGGGACAGGGGCTGAGCCACGTGCGAGTTCTGGCCCCTCTGAAGTCTGTCACTTGGACACGCCCTTCCCCTGCCTGGGCTTCCGTGTCTGCAGGTGTTAAAAAAGTGAATTATGGCCCAGACCTTACATTTCCTGTCAGTTCTGGCCCTGACCTCCTGGGAGAGGGGGCCTCACAGGGCAGCCCCCCAGGGGCCTATCCCCTCTGTCGCAGTGATGGTGACTCTGTACCGGGAGGGACAGGCAGGACAAGGGTCCGGGCACCCAGCTCAGGCTCAGCTCAGAGGAGGGAACAGGGTGGATCTGTCCTGGTTCAGCTCCCGGCTCTGCTGCTCCTGCTGTGGGGCTGGGCGGTCCCTTCTCTCCTCTGAGTGTCGAGGTCCTGTCTGCTCATCCCTGGTCCCATCCTGCTCACAGGCTGCTGGGAGATGAGGTGACATAAGGGCCTCGCAGAGCTCAGGAAGGCAGAGCCCCCAGCCCAGCCTGACCCTCCCAAGGGAGCATCAGGGCCTGCAGGGTGGAGACAGATCCTAGAGACTCAGAGTCCAGCCCACACCTGCCCCTCCCTGTCCCTGCTGTGCTGGGGGCGGGTAATGAGGAAGGACCCTCAGCTCCAGATGAGACGTGGACAGGCCCCTACAGAGGAGGAGCCCAGAGCACGAAGTTGGTGTCCAAAGAGGGGGTCGGGGTGGGGAGGAGGCAGCGTGAGGGCAGCACAGAGAACCCACAGTCCTGGGTTCCAGTCTCAGCCCTGCCCCACCCAGGCTGGGTGACCTGGGGCACATGATTAACCTCTCTGAGCCTCAGTGAGGTGGGTGGTGGGGTCAGCAATCCCTGGTGCATGACTGTTGTCAGGGTTAGAGGAGATGAGTGACAGACCCCAGCATGTGCCTCGCATACAGTAGGTGCTCATTACATGGCATCTTTGGCTCATTCATGACGTCACAAGGGGAGAAGGATGCCCCTGACATTTCAGGTCTGATTTCTTTCCAGGAGTCGTCCCCAAACCCTCCATCTGGGCTGACCCAGGCCCCATCGTCACCCGGGGGAGCCCTGTGACCATCTGGTGTCAGGGGTCTCTGCAGGCTGAAGCCTATGTTCTG